AAGGTTTAGGCTGAAAGCTTCATCAATAGATATCCGTATCTGACACCTGTAGACCTTCATGCATCTTCATGAAAACACTGTTTTACTTGTGGATGCATCACAGGAAACTTTTGCAACTGAGATGAACCTGTGTGCAGATTTACTGATATTCAGGCAGCCCACGGCACGTGTTACTGTGGTGTCTGGAACTGAGTGCAAAATCGCTTATGTGATAATTCCTTTTTTTTTTTCCCTCTGCCACCCTCCATCTTCTCATAGTTTCTTAGGATGCTGCAGAAGCATGTATTCTTACTGTTTAAAGCTAAAATTTGCCACTCCATTTATGCCAGACTTCAAAAATCAATTATTAGATTCTGTTCGAGATCTATTTTGAGAATATCACCATTCTTTTTTCAAAATTATCAGGTTTTTGGTTGCATTCCTTTGCAACTCCAGCAGAGCAGATTCTGACTTCAGATGGACACTGTGGCTGCTGGCTGGCACCGGGGCTCTCTCTGCCCAAAGCTGCTGCAGCCAAACTCCGTGGCAGCTTCATGCTGCTCTTGGAGCAGACCTAGAAGGATGAGTGGAGGAATGCCTGCTCCAACAGGTCTCCTATGGAGCATCTTGAAGAGGCAAAGCTTCTGCAGACAGTATCTGGGCACAGCTCCATGAGCTCCGTGCAGCACCTGCCAGAAGCACTGTGGCAGCGCTGGAACCCGCTGAGCCCAGCCAAAGAAGGAGCATCGTAAGGTTGAGCAGAGGAAAATGCTACAGAGGAAAATGCTTCTGCTGCTACACTATTCCTTGTGCCTCAGCTTATTCCAAGCTAGTTTGCCTGCTCCTCCACCTGGCACTGAACCCTGCCATTGCCAAATCCTACTAAACTATAGTGACCTCCTTACAAAGAGCCCGTGTCATTGTATCACATATAATGTATGTACATATCACATATACCAGCTCTCTTATCACGTAACCCACCTTATCTTGTACCTCAAGAAAAAGCAAACCATGCCTTCTAATTTTTAAGCCACTCCCAACCAAAGTATGGTTACAAATAAAGAATGAAAGCAGAGGACGGATTTCTGCAGGTCCTGAAGAGCTCACCTAGACTCTTGTAGTCTGCACAGTTCTCCATAGCAAACTCATTGCATTTAGCTGCCAAAAAAATAGTTTTGCTTGCATTATTAAGTTTTTGCATATTATCCAGCAAAACCAGGTCTTCCTATAAGCATTTTTAATTTCTTGTAGCAAAATATACCTGCTAGCAAACAACTACTTACAAAGATGCTCTTTAAATATAAATAACTGTGTATAACTCACTGATACATAGTAATAAAATAATCCCTAAATCACTCATTACATTATGCAAGAAAAATAATTTGTTTTTTGGACATTAACAGGAAATCTGCATTAAATTATTTTAAAAAAACACTCAAAACTAAAGAATAGTCAAACCCAAACTAAAACAAAACAAAAAACCAACCCAACAGAAACTAAATAAACTCCCTAGACTGTTAAAATTATTGCACAACTGAAAAAAATATGCTTTGGAAAAAACATCCTTTACTAGTGGAAATTACTGCTTGTATAAAAGAACTAAATATTTCTGAACACTTTGCTACATTCATCCTAGAAGAACTTAAGTTACCTACAGAAAAAATGGCTTTTACTAACAAAATAGAACATATAACATCTATCTTTTGGCTGAATGCAATAGCAGTCCTCACAATTTAAGTGATTAATTGGAGACATTCTTAAATTAGTTTCCTATATTGTATCTCAATTGAAAATAAAATGACTTTCACTTGTTCTTTTTATAATTTAGGATCCAGATGCACACTCAGATTTCCACATGTTTACCATTCTTTTCATTAAAATTCAATATATTTGAGAGTATTTTCTCTCTCTAATACTGGGATTCTATACATATTAAAAATCCTTAATTAAATAGAATTGGCTAAATTATTTTCAAAAAAATAAAAGACTATCTTATCTTATAGAATTTTCGGACAAGTAAATGGAAAGGATGTTGGAAATAGCATTTGTTTTCCCATTTTTTTGGTAATTATTCCTTGTTCTTTGCTGGGACAGAAACCAGAGCTCCTTCTATGACAAGTCTCTTTGTGAGTGCCATCAGAAGGATGCAATCATGACCTGGACCAGTGAAATCAAATTACTAACTCTGTTACTTGTTTTATCGGTTTCGGTTCTTGGTTCTCCATTAAAACAAACTATTGATAACTGGAAAATTCTGGCAATTAACAAAGTGAAGAGGAATACTGTTCTCTGGAAGGCTGAAGAAACTGCAAGCAGAAATCCTTATTCAGACTAGGTTTTCTTCAGAAAAGAACATTCACATTGTTTCCATGTCCTAATAATCTTGGCTTGTGATGTTCTTCCAGCTGAGTATTTCTGACACATGACTAAGTGGCCCTTCCCTCAGCAAGCAAACAAGCCAGCCCTGGTATGTTCCTTGTCTTACAGTGTTCACTGTGTGCCTGTCAAACACCAATTAGGGTTCAGCTGGTTAGCACAGACCTTAGGGCAGGTGAAGCCTTTCATCAGTGAACTCCCCTCCCTATGTACTAGAATCAGTGGACTAAGAATTCAACCTATTGTTTTTACAGTTTATAACTCAATATAGACAAAGGGCTTAATAGTGTTTCCTCAATAAAAACCAACACGTGAAACATGCCCATTGATTTTCAAGGGACCAGAACCAAATCTATTTCAGTTCCTCTGCTCCACACTATTATACACACAGGCACTCAAACTGCTGAATAAATCAAGCACGTGAAAAAGAACACAAATGGGCTCAGACATCCAATGGAAACAAAAAAAATTAATTAAAGAAAACAACAATCTGACATGCCAAGGGTAATGTTGAGCCTGACCACTCCTACACACAAGCAGAAGCTGCTAAGCTCTGGGATAATACAGGTATGGACCATCTACTGCCCCACTCCTTCCTTCCTACTTCTCCTTCCTCTCTCAAATGACACCATCCCACAAGTGGTTTTTCCTGGACCTATCCTGTGGGGCATTATCCAGTGTAACTCATCACCTCCAAAGGCAACTCTCTGAAACTCTTCTACTGGTATTCCTTCTCTGTGCTGTACAGCTCTGGGAGCCTCAGCAGAGCACAAATCAGCAGCTCACTGCATATTGGTAATTTCTACTACAGCAGGGTCTGATGTGAAATCTTCCTCCAGAATAAATCAAATGCAACACACATCTGCCTTACTACTAGGACTCAAGAAAAACAAGGAGAGAAAATCACACGTATTTATCTTAAGTTATACTGAGTTTTTCAAGTAAAGAACCTAAACCATAGATGAAAGACAAAGCAGCTGTTGACACATCAACCACCAAATGTTTCCCAGTGGGCCTTTAACTTCAAAAGATCAATTTTTGAAAAAAAATCTGCTGTGATGTTTTCTAATCTAATCTAATGTCCAAATAATTATATGAATAGTTTGGGGGTTTGTGTATTACTGGTCAAACTACTTCCATATAACAACATGTTCTGTAGCAAAATGCTGACAAGGGGGAAAGAGAAAAAACAAATAAACATGAGCACAACACATGGAAAAGAAAGAAACTCTTCTGTGCAAGCAACCTTCTGAAATGCTCAACAGGTTTGCATGTGCACCACAGAGAACTGCACAGTCTGTTACTGTTATTAAGCTTTCCACTGTCACGTTCCATGGAGATGCTGTATCCCTGCTCTTAGCTGGAGCAAGTAGCAAGGTGGGTGACAAAAGACATGCATCTGTCCCGTTTTTCCTTTCTCCTTCAACACATTTGTTCTCCAGCCAGCCATGATCCTGTTTCTTGTAATGAATTTGCTTCCCTGAAATTTCTTTCTGTAATGACTTGCTACACTTACATCTTCTTCCTAATTCAAGCACTATTGTAGAACTTGATTGATACTGATTGCTAAGAGGACTGAATACACTGGGTCATCTCATTTGCTGGAAAAAAAACTTTGTTTACATAGTGTAAACACACTGAAATGAGCAAGCACAGGCATAGTCTCAGAGGTACATCTGATCACACTGCACCTCTCCCAGCTACAGGCCAAATCACAGAATACTGCTGAATGATGTGAACAAAAAGACAACACTCATGATTATTTCCTCTCCAGTTTTCTGTCACCTACTGAAAGATGGTTATGCCAGTAACAAAAGAAGCAATGCTTGTAACTATTTGTTCCTCTGTCTTCTGTCACCTACTGAAAGATGTTTATCCCCCTTAACAGCATATGAAACAAGCAGACATCAACTTCTTTGATACAGTAGGTTTTTAAACCCGGGTTCTAGTCAGGACAGTATTTTTGCAGTAGCCATGCGAGGGCAAGGCTAGAACCCTGAGGTTATTCTGTACCACCTCCCAGCATTTTCTGGGGCCATGGGAAGGGGTTCCAAGTGGGTCACAGAGTGTGGCAGCACAGCCAGGTATCGGCAGAGACTCCCCTGTGGTGAGCATATGCCTGTGAATCCTTTGCCTCTGGTGCACTCTGTTATCGTCACTGCTGCTGTTGCTGTTACTGTTTCTTTTCTTATTTCACTGCTGTTTGCAGTAAATCCTTCTCTCTACCAGTGATCTTTACCTTTTGTGCCTCCAATTCTCCTCTCCATCCCACCGCAGGGAAGGAAAAAAAGGGGAGGGGACTGTGAGCATGCGGTGCGTGGTTTGCAGTGTTTTGGTGGAAACACTAAACTGGAGAATACCATTCCTAAACCATGACAAACACCCAGTGACAACCATTTTTTTCTTTTCTGAATAATATGACACTGTTTTTAAATTAAAGGTTTGCCTACATAAGCCTCCTTGGAGCCTGTGGTGCTCAGTTATTAGCAGATATCAGAGAACAAACACATGTCAAATATTACAGCTTCTTTTCTTTTTTTACTTTTCTGCTGCTATCACTTATGTTTTAATAGTAGAAGTACAAACTGGACCAGAAAAAAGTCATGTTCCCTGTTTTAAAAAGTATAGCATGAGATAAGGCAGTCTATCAAAAAGAGCAGTCTGTTTTAATCCCCCCATGAGCTTACATCAGCTACTGTAGCACACACAGCAGAACCACCACAACAAGCCAAAAGCCACACTTCTCCACGTAACACTGAATGGTTCTCAACCCTTCGCTCTTTCTGAGACCCAGCACAACGCTTGAAAAGAAAAAGAAACCGGAAAACAAACAAGCTAACAAACAAACAAACAAACAGAAAACAGCCCCCCACCCTCCACCCCGTGACTGGTTAGAGTTAATGCCCTTCTGGTGGGCACCAAGAGACTTTTCCAGTTTTACTGCCTCCTCAGCTCCCAGGCATCTCTGCACACCTAAAGCAGGCTGCCCTGACATTTTCCGGTTTGGACTTTATGAGAAGGTTAACATTTTCCTCTCTCCAGTCTCTGCTTTTTCATTTGAGGCGTTGAGTCACATTAGCCAGAGCAACAGCAAAGGCTTGCACTGCAGAAAATGGATACTGAAAGTCCAAAATGTAAGCATTGCCATCAATTCTTCCAAACTGCATCACCTGGAAAGCAGGGGAAGAGGAAAAGGAAGGGAAAAGAGAACAAGGTCAAAAAAAATGAACCACAGAAAAAGAAACAGAGAAGAGAATAAAAGTGAAATTTTTCTGCTCCTCTGTATGAACACCTCCCCTTCTCAGTTAATATGATTGGAGCTACAGACAGAACGGGGTATGATGCCAAAGAATACTGAGAGCACTGTACTTTTCATCTGTACAGAGTATTTGACTGAAATACTAGACTCCACAGAGTAAACTGATAAAACATGCTAGACTGCACACAGTATTGGTTTATGTAGCTTGTCATCAATTACTCTGGCAGTTGTGGGTACACCAGCATCATGCTTCCTGCAGGAAAATATCAGTCGCTCCCTTGGATATATCCTACCATCAACCCATCAGGAAAACAGATTTTGTTTTCAAAGAAAGGAGCTTTCAGGGAAGGGGAATAACCAATTTCCTCATGCTAGCACTTCATAGCTGATAAAGTGATAATTCTTTGCAGTTCTGTTTCCCTCTGCATAAATATCTTTACTAGCACATAATTACAGCAAGAATGAATTAGCAAAGAGGCAGTGAGAGCTATTTGAAATGAAAAAAAAAAAGCAAAACTAGTCAGGTTGTTCATTGCTCTTCCACAGGGAATATCTGAAGTTTGGCCTATTATTACTGTTTTTTCATTTGCTTCATCAGAAATCCAGATCTAATTGGTCTACAGCAAAGATCCTTGGGCTAGAATGGGGACTGGCTGTGTAAGTCAAGGCAGGCTTTGTTACCCCAGCAAGAAAAACCCTTGGTTGGGTGGTTTTGCACAGCTGCCCATGAGGACATATCCATACCATTTAACTGAAGAAGGGGTACAAATGAACACTGCCTTTGAGCTGCTCTTTCATACAAACAAAACCAAAAGACTACCACTGGCCATGCACGTTGGGTACTTAAGACATCTAACTCCCAACTTAAATCAGAGGAAGCTGAGAGCCTTGATATCTTTAAAACCAAAAGTGACTTACAGCTGGACAAGGAAATAAACATGAGTCTCCTGAGCCTCAGTCCAGCACCCTACTAATTAGCACCACTTGCAAGCCTGGGTTTGGTGTAGTAACCTACCACCCTGGCCAAAATTAAATGTTTTGATTTTCTGAACTAGCCATTGACCCTTCTACCAACAGGCAGTTCAGAAGTGGCCCAGAAGTACTTCGTTCTGGGATGGGTCAGTGTCTCCCTCCTCTAGCACTAAGAGCCGACCCCAGGGACCTGGTAGCTGCTCACAGGTGGAAATTTTGCCATGAAGGGAAACTAACTGCCTTAGCTACCTGCTGCCTGGCTAACCTTTGTGAGCAGGGCGAGAAGGGAGCAGTGTTCACTCAATTGGCTGTCATCCACAACCATCACTGATGGCGAGTGCAGCTACTGCTGTGGAGAGCTATTGTGTTTATAACAAAACCTTCAATGGTGAGAGCCAGACAGACTAAAGGAGGCCCTTGTTGCCATGTCTGACTACAGTAAGACCAAACATATTTTGCATATTTACTTTACAGCTGTACTTCACCCTATGTGCTAAACTTAGACCTTCAACAGCTGTTTTTATCAACCATGTGGCAAAGCTTTTTCTCATGGAACAGCTGACACAAGCAGGAGGCACTCTGCAGCATAAGAGACAGCTTATTCCTGGCATGGCTTTCCCACATCCTGGCCCCCATTCCAGAAAGTATGTGCCACCCTTTCCTACCTGTCGTCCTTCCAGCTCAATCTGGAAGTTTTTTGCCGACTCCTGGGTCACCCGCCCTCCAAAGTCCAGCTGGTAGACTTGCGTTGCCTCGTTCCACAGTGGCTGCTTGTTGGCCATCACATACACAAAGCCTTGGCTTCCCAGTCGCCCATCCTCCTTCTCACTGGCCTTCCGGCACTTGAATTCATCCAGCTCACTGGCTGTCCTCAAACTCCTTTTAGTTTTCCAACCCTTTTTACTGCCCTGGCTCTGGTTCATCAGTTCATCTCCGCTGATAAAAAGCTCCGGCTCACTCTCTGAACTGTCCTGAAACTCATTTGTCTTGTTTAGTTTCTTGGACTTCAGCTGATCTTTTTGGCTCTTGACCTTCTTCTTCTCTCTCCCCAGCCGAGGGCTGGCTATCAGTGAATTGAAGTCAGTCAGTGTCCTTGCCTCCTTTTTAACTTTGCCCTCAGTGATAGCCTGCACATTTCCTTCCTCGGCTCGACTGTCCAGGCGCTTCCGGCTCTTCTTGCCAAATTTGTCTGTCCTTTGAGGAACAGGGCTTTCTGTCAAGGAGAGCACCTCCTGGAAAGTGTCTGCCGTCTCTACCATTACCTCTGTGCCCACCTGGCCCTGCAGCTCTGCTGGTGGGGGAGACATCACCGGCTTCTCCACCACAAGGAGCGGCTTGGGGGGCAAGGTGCCCTGGGGGTTCTGTACGGGCGGGCAGGCGTTGTAGGAGCTCCACGGGTGCAAGGCGATCGGTGGCAGCTGTAAACTAGAGCAAGTGCTACTTCCCGGGTACATGGGTGGCAAAGGGCAATAGGAGAGGTTGGATGGATAACCTGGCTGAAGCACAACTGTGGGCTCCTGCTGTGCAAACTGTGTTGGGGCCAGAGCTTCTTTGGGGGAGCAGGGGGCCTGCATTCCCTGAAGGGGTGGGGCACTGTAGCTTCCTGGGTAAGGTACTCCAACCCCATAACTCGTCTGAAAAGTGGCAGTGGGACTGGTGGGAGACTTGGGGGAAACAAATGGCACTCGAGACATGTCCAGATGTTGAGCTTGACCAATGATGAGTGGAGGAGGTTTTAGAGGGTTGGGCACTGAGCTCTGAGATGTCCTTTCCTGAGGAACCCATATCTCTTCGCTCACCATAGGATCCCACTGGTACGGAGGGGGGCGTTTTACACTAAGGGTAGCCTCTGTCAAGGACACAGGTACGTGCCGTACCGATTTCTCCACTGGGCAGTGCTGAGAAAGGGCCTCATCCTCCGTGAAAGCGGAGTTGATATAATCGGCTCTGTCACGGGAATTGTCAGGTGGGCTCAGCAAGCTGTAGGAGGACTGGGAGGCCAGAGGCGAAGTACTGACAGAGTGAGCAATGACAGAGCTGTGTTGGGAGCCACCCCCTGTGCTCAGATCTGGTCTCATGCCACCAACACTGGAAGTGCTGCTGGCAGCATTGGCGCTAGCGATGTTGGCCACGCCACCAGCGCTCACACTGCTGCTGCTGCTGCTGCCAGCGCCGCCACTGCTGCACTGGCTGCAGGTGTACAACGCTGTGGGCACTCTCTGCTGGTACTGTGCTGACACAATGTTGCTCTTGGCCTTAGGGGGAAGTTGTAAGGTGGCTCTCTGACCATCCATCAGCTGAGCCATTTTCAGGGCTGCCTCTCTGCTGTTCCTGCGCAGAGTAGCGTGAATGATACTGCTGTCCAGCCTCTGCGCCATGCTCCTGCCCTGGGACAGCTGGCTGGCAATGTCAGGGTAGGGCGGCGGGTCCCCGGTTGGGATGGAGTATCGGGGGACCGTGAGCCGGTTCAAGGTGGCGCTGGCACAGGGCTGCTGCATCTTCTTCTCGGCAGCTGTGATGCGCAAGGTGGCGGAGCTGCCGGGCCCCGGCAGGGTGTAGGTGCTCTGGGCACAGAGCATCCTGGTGCGAGGCCGGCACACCTCCTCCACATTCCCGCTGCTGTCGAACGTCGTTATCCGCTCGTACCCCAGGGGCGTCTGGTAGTGCCCCGCCGGGTAGAGGGAGAACTCCCCCTTCTTGAGGCAGAGATCGAGGGGCGGCTCAAAGA